CTGTAGCTTTTTGCTACTTAAGTAATCACACACCCTGAGAATAAAACTGTACAAAATTTTAAAGTGCAGAACTAAATGTTGTTTCGGTAAATGGTACAGAAATCCAGTAACTGTTTACACTACAACCATTTTACTTTCCAAAACTGTCTTTTATTGAAAAAACTGACCAGCAAATAAACCTTATATATTTGGAAATGGTCTTAAACTTGAAATAGCCAGGGATTTAGTGCTAGGGTCTTTCCCAACAAAAAAAAGTACAACAAAATCTTGAAGCCTGTGCGCTCCAGAATAGAGGGGTGAAAAATGTTAAATAAGTTGAATATTAATTGAAATTTTGGTTGCATCTAAACTGGAGGTGGTTTTATTGTGGTTTTTTTCCTCTTCTCTCCTGCCCAAGACAGTGCCCCCCAAACTCCCACACACTGTCCCAACTCCCCTCCCCCCCGCAAACATGTGTACAGTGCCACATATTGCCCATTCAGCTGTTCTTTATACTGCAAGGGAGCAGCATGGTGGGGTTTTTGACCCCTGGATATCCAGGAGTCAAAAAACCCCACACAAAATAAAGCAGAGTGGTACATGTGGGGACAGTGTACGCTGCTTAAAACAGGAGCATGGTTGGCCAGAGCCACATTCCAGCTGCCAGCCAGGCTCCGAGCAGCAGGATTGCCACTGCTGCAGCTCCAGGAGGACCCCAGGTAAGGGTGGCCTCAGCCTCCCCTACCCCACCTAGGGCAGCCTGTATACCAGAGGGCATGTGGCATAGGCGTTCTCCCTGGGGACAGCTGGCAGCAAGGTGTGCCGCTGCTGGTTATCCCCAGGGAACCAAACGTCCACACTCGCGTGGACATGGCCTATATGGTTAAGAAAAGCCTCTTGAAGTGGCAGCTGACTCCTGTATTGAATATATCTACCTTTGCTACAATAGTTTGTGTTGTTTGATTAACTTTCATTTCTTTATTTTCTGTAATGGTTTGTTTTGGTGTTTCTGATATGCAGAACACCATGCTCAGATGATGGTTTAAGCAGCAGTGTCTGTAACCTAGTTGTGTTCCCCTTCTCACCCCCATCCCTCTAATATTAGTCCCTTGCTCAGGTGATTTGTATTTCCCTACTGGCTTTGTCATCTTTTTGTATTCACAATTCTAAACATCTACTAATAAAATTCAATCATCTAGCTCAGTGGTTCTCAGCCTTTTTGTACCAGGACCCATTTGTAAACATCAATGTCCAGTCCTGACCCAGTGCCCCTCATTCCCAACATGCAGGCCCCTGGTGGGGGTGGTGGTGTGGTGGGGGGGGGGGGGGCAGTCTGGGGGGAATTCTGCCAACATGCAAGGGAAACACCATGATTTTCCATTGTTTTTTCCTTTAAAAAAAAGTGTTCATCCTTTTTTAAAGTTTGTTTGCCACTCTTTCATACATTCATGTGACCCACTTTTGGGTGGTGATCCGCAGGTTGAGAAGCCTGATTTAGCTGATATTTTTTGTGTCGGCCATCTTGGCTGCCTTTCAGCATTGGGTTGCAGTAAGTCTATTTTATTGACTATGGAAAATTTGTTGAGGAGCCTAGCTTTAACAACACGTTAAGTTTCTTGGTCTTGAGACCAGTTTTGTTTAGTATCTTCATTAAGGACCTTGGAACATGTAAGTGTGCTGATGAGGTCTTAACAGTATCCCCAGTTAAGTC